TCGGGAGTGCCGTTAATGGCGCTTGGCTGTCCCACCACAGCACCCGACTCCGTCTGAGGCGCGCCCTTGGGCAGAGTGGTAGGCACGATGAAGCAGCTGGCACCGTAGAGGGCCAGCGAGGCAGCGCACACGATGCCAGCAACGCGGGACATGGTCTTTGTGCTGAAATTGAGGCTACAAACCGTCCCTAGCAACAGCCAAACGCCTGCCAAAGAACATGCTGTCTCAAGCTTCATACTGCTTTATGGACAACAAAAGCCGAGAAGTATCTGTCAGTATCTGTCATTACAAGCCGATGCTGCTGGGCACGATTTTGTCCTCGCCGGACCCATGACAGCATGGAACTCCGGTGAATGTGAACGGTGCCTCGCTGGCAACCTTTCCGAGAGCTATATAGGCAGCCAGCTGTGGCCTAGTGCTTGCACGATGGTATGCAGCTACACTGCGCCGAATCAGCTGGGAGCGTGATCAAAGGATATAAAACGGAATCGAAAGCCGTTGAAAAGTTATAGGCTGCAGGCAGCTCACCACTTGTCAGCCTTGTTGTAGACGTAGTTGGCCACGTCCTGCTGGATGAACCCAAACATATGAGAAAGGCAATCAAACCGCATGCTGAACAAAAGCTGCTCTTATAGATATATTTCTTGTAAACCATAGCAGGCATAGCCATAGCATGTTGCAGCCACAGACCCGTAGCAGCACCGCTGCAATTGCATGCCGGCCTCGATGTCATCGGGTCCCAGCTTCTCGCCGAAAGCAGGCATGGCACCGTTGCCGTTGGTCACCTCTCTGCCCGACATCTTGAACATGTGTCCAAAGCTTCAGGCTTCAACAATTTTCAAGCAATCATACAATATGGACCGCATGGGACACATGCTCAACAACGGTCCCGTGGCCTGGGTGATGATGGCCTGGACGTCGTACTTGCCGTACTGGACCAGAGCTTCCTGGAATGCGAGTCTGCGGAAGCTTGCATAAGCATACCCTTGGACGGCTAGGTCTCATTGATGCTACTCACATCTCCTTCTTGAGCTTTTTCTCTGCCACAATGGAGTTATTCCCGCCCGCGTGGCAGGCAGTGCAGTTGCCGTTGAAGATGGCCTCACCGTTCTCCAGGTCCGCGGCGAGAGCAGGTCGGCCAGTGGCGACGGCGATCAAGAGGCCCAGGGCTGCACCGACAGCGAGCGGGCTCCAGGAGGCTGACTCGGGAGTGCCGTTAATGGCGCTTGGCTGTCCCACCACAGCACCCGACTCCGTCTGAGGCGCGCCCTTGGGCAGAGTGGTAGGCACGATGAAGCAGCTGGCACCGTAGAGGGCCAGCGAGGCAGCGCACACGATGCCAGCAACGCGGGACATGGTCTTTGTGCTGAGATTGAGGCTACAAACCGTCCCTAGCAACAGCCAAACGCCTGCCAAAGAACATGCTGTCTCAAGCTTCATACTGCTTTATGGACAACAAAAGCCGAGAAGTATCTGTCAGTATCTGTCATTACAAGCCGATGCTGCTGGGCACGATTTTGTCCTCGCCGGACCCATGACAGCATGGAACTCCGGTGAATGTGAACGGTGCCTCGCTGGCAACCTTTCCGAGAGCTATATAGGCAGCCAGCTGTGGCCTAGTGCTTGCACGATGGTATGCAGCTACACTGCGCCGAATCAGCTGGGAGCGTGATCAAAGGATATAAAACGGAATCGAAAGCCGTTGAAAAGTTATAGGCTGCAGGCAGCTCACCACTTGTCAGCCTTGTTGTAGACGTAGTTGGCCACGTCCTGCTGGATGAACCCAAACATATGAGAAAGGCAGTCAAACCGCATGCTGAACAAAAGCTGCTCTTACAGATATATTTCTTGTAAACCATAGCAGGCATAGCCATAGCATGTTGCAGCCACAGACCCGTAGCAGCACCGCTGCAATTGCATGCCGGCCTCGATGTCATCGGGTCCCAGCTTCTCGCCGAAGGCAGGCATGGCACCGTTGCCGTTGGTCACCTCTCTGCGCGACATCTTGAACATGTGTCCAAAGCTTCAGGCTTCAACAATTTTCAAGCAATCATACAATATGGACCGCATGGGACACATGCTCAACAACGGTCCCGTGGCCTGGGTGATGATGGCCTGGACGTCGTACTTGCCGTACTGGACCAGAGCTTCCTGGAATGCGAGTCTGCGGAAGCTTGCATAAGCATACCCTTGGACGGCTAGGTCTCATTGATGCTACTCACATCTCCTTCTTGAGCTTTTTCTCTGCCACAATGGAGTTATTCCCGCCCGCGTGGCAGGCAGTGCAGTTGCCGTTGAAGATGGCCTCACCGTTCTCCAGGTCCGCGGCGAGAGCAGGTCGGCCAGTGGCGACGGCGATCAAGAGGCCCAGGGCTGCACCGACAGCGAGCGGGCTCCAGGAGGCTGACTCGGGAGTGCCGTTGATGGCGCTTGGCTGTCCCACCACAGCACCCGACTCCGTCTGAGGCGCGCCCTTGGGCAGAGTGGTAGGCACGATGAAGCAGCTGGCACCGTAGAGGGCCAGCGAGGCAGCGCACACGATGCCAGCAACGCGGGACATGGTCTTTGTGCTGAGATTGAGGCTACAAACCGTCCCTAGCAGCAGCCAAACGCCTGCCAAAGAGCATGTGTTCTCAAGCATCCTGGACAACGAAAACATGAACTCAGCTCTTGTGCAAACGAACCCTGCTGTGGCACGTACTGTACCGATTTTATGCTCAAACTAGGACCCATGACAGCATGGAACTCCTGTCGGCGTGAAATGCGTGCCTCGTACCTCTGGCAACCTTGCTACAGCCGAACTGTTGCCTAGTGCACGTGGTATGCAAAGGCACGATTGCACAAATCAACTGCGATAGGGTTGGAAAGATTAAACGGGATCGAGGGCCTTTCAAATCCTCGATGCCGCAAGAGCAGCTCACCACTTGTCAGCCTTGTTGTAAACATAGTTCGCCACATCCTGCTGGAGGAACCAAGACATGCCCACAAGGCCGTCAGACAGCATCGTATACTGGGGTGAGGGATCAAGAAAAAATAAATAAGGATCAAAAAAATTAAAGCACCTGGATCAACAAAAATAAGGATCAACAATAAATAAATCACGTAAAATACAGCAATTCCTGGGGCAGAGGCATCAAAAAAATAAAACAATAATCAAAAAAATAAATCACTCAAAATACAGCAATTCCTAAATTTTCAAAGGGAAAACACTGTTTTCTTACGAATTCTCTTTCATTTCCCAAGGATTTGCTTGGTTTTCCCTCGGGAAGACACGATTTTCCTACGGATTCCGTTGATTTTCCAAGTTTTCCTTATTTCTTTCCTAGGAAAAACACTATTTTTCTATTACCTATGGCGTTCGTGTCATTTCTTCAGGTTTTCAGAAGAAAAACATACGTTATCTTTGGTTGTTCCTCGGGAAAATCAGATTTTCGTTGCAATTTCGCATTTAGGACGGATTTCGTGTTGTAGCTGTTGCCGGTATTCCGCTTCATCCCCTATCTTGAACACACCCCCTCATTTGGCGATTCTGGTTCAGCCGGGGGGTTGGGGCGGGCGCAGCCCCCCCCCATTTGCAAACACAACGCTCACATGATGGGCTTCGAAAACACTCCTTGAATCAAGCTTGCACGTCTCGAAAAGCGCGGCGGTGGGTCTTTCGTTCTTCCGTGCCTGTTCGTGTCTCTTCTTCCGTTAGCACTCTAACATAATATAACATAGTAAACCATAAGAACGACATAAGATGGTTCGACATCACAAAATAGTGTGTCACTTTCTGACATAACAGAACCTTGCTTCTTATAGCATATAATAACATAATAAAAGACGACAATACAATATAACAGAAGATAACATAGAACAAAACAGCATCTTAGTTTATAGTGTAGTACATTGTAACATGGTACAATATAGTTTGTATATATACAACATAATCAACATAATATTTAGTATATTATATAACATCAGGTTACATTATGTTTTACTATGGTACATTACGATATTATGACATATTCGATTGGTTTTGTAGTATCCTATGGCTTGTATCTTTATTTCTGTGATTATTTCATGTTCTTTCTTTTTCGTCTTTTCCAACTTTGCTTGTTTATTCTGGGTTTATTTCTTTCTTTCGCTCGCTCATTTCTTTCATTTCTTTCTCTTGTTCTTTCTTTATTCATTTCATACTCCCTTCCTTCCTTCTTTATTGCTTTCGTTCTTTGTTCATTTATTTCGTTATTTCTTTCGTTCTTTCTTTCGTTGTTGCTTTCGTTCTCTCGCGTTCTTTCTTTCTTTCGTTCTGTCTTCCTTTCTTTCTTTTTAGATACAGCACTTCTTGAATTTTTCCAAGGGAAAACACTGTTTTCTTACGGATTCTCTTTCATTTCCCAAGGATTTGCTTGGTTTTCCCTCGGGAAGACACGATTTTCCTACGGATTCCGTTGATTTTCCAAGTTTTCCTTATTTCTTTCCTAGGAAAAACACTATTTTTCTATTACCTATGGCGTTCGTGTCATTTCTTCAGGTTTTCAGAAGAAAAACATACGTTATCTTTGGTTGTTCCTCGGGAAAATCAGATTTTCGTTGCAATTTCGCATTTAGGACGGATTTCGTGTTGTAGCTGTTGCCGGTATTCCGCTTCATCACCTATCTTAAACACACCCCCTCATTTGGCGATTCTGGTTCAGCAGGGGGGTTGGGGCGGGCGCACCCCCCCCCCCCATTTGCAGACACAACGCTCACATGATGGGCTTCGAAAACACTCTTTGAATCAAGCTTGCACGGCTCGAAAAGCGCGGGGGGTGGGTCTTTCGTTCTTCCGTGCCTGTTCGTGTCTCTTCTTCCGCTAGCACTCTAACATAATATAACATAGTAAACCATAAGAACGACATAAGATGGTTCGACATCACAAAAACAGTGTGACATTTTCTGTCATAACAGAACCTTGCTTCTTATAGCATATAATAACATAATAAAAGACGACAATACAATATAACAGAAGATAACAGACATAGAACAAAACAACATCTTAGTTAATTTATGTCCTTTCGTCTTTTACTTCTCTATATTTATTTTTCGGTATGTCTTTATTGTTTGTTGTTATTTGTTTCTAACTCTCTTTCGTCTTTTCCTTGTGTTTTCTTTTTTCTTTCCTTATAGCTTTCTTTATTTATCTCTTTCTTCGTTTTTGTTTTCTTTCTTTCCTTATAGCTTTCTTTATGTATTTATTTCGTTCTTGCTTTCGTGCTTTCTTTCTGTCTTTCTTTCTTTCTCTCTCTCTCTCTCTCTCTCTCTTTGTCTTTCTTTCTTTCTTTATTCTTATCTTTCTTTCTTTCTTTCTCTCTCTTCTTCCACTGGGCATGAAGGGCATGTTAGGCCCCTCGGCCACATGGGCCCCCCATATGTTTCTCTCTCTCTCTCTCTGTCTTTCTTTATTTATTTCCTTCTTTCTTTCTTTCTTTCTTTCGTTCTTTCTTTCTTTCTGTATTTCTTTCTTTCTTTCTTTCTTTCTGTCTTTCTTTCTTTCTCTCTCTCTCTCTCTCTCTGTTTTTCTTTCCTCCGTTACCCCCTCTCCTTTCGTTGAATTTAATTTTTTTTGATCCTTATCTTTTTTTTGATCCATATTTATTTTGGTTTAAACCCCTATCCCCGTGCTTTCCCTAGTCTTACAGATCTTGTATGAGCATGTCTACGTAGCACTGCTGCTGCACTTGCATGCCGGCCTCGATGTCATCGGGTCCCAGCTTCTCGCCGAAAGCAGGCATGGCACCGTTGCCGTTGGTCACCTCTCTGCGCGACATCTTGAACATGTGTCCAAAGCTTCAGGCTTCAACAATATTCAAGCAATCATACAATATGGACCGCATGGGACACATGCTCAACAACGGTCCCGTGGCCTGGGTGATGATGGCCTGGACGTCGTACTTTCCGTACTGGACCAGAGCTTCCTGGAATGCGAGTCTGCGGAAGCTTGCATAAGCATACCCTTGGACGGCTAGGTCTCATTGATGCTACTCACATCTCCTTCTTGAGCTTTTTCTCTGCCACAATGGAGTTATTCCCGCCCGCGTGGCAGGCAGTGCAGTTGCCGTTGAAGATGGCCTCACCGTTCTCCAGGTCCGCGGCGAGAGCAGGTCGGCCAGTGGCGACGGCGATCAAGAGGCCCAGGGCTGCACCGACAGCAAGCGGGCTCCAGGAGGCTGACTCGGGAGTGCCGTTGATGGCGCTTGGCTGTCCCACCACAGCACCCGACTCCGTCTGAGGCGCGCCCTTGGGCAGAGTGGTAGGCACGATGAAGCAGCTGGCACCGTAGAGGGCCAGCGAGGCAGCGCACACGATGCCAGCAACGCGGGACATGGTCTTTGTGCTGAGATTGAGGCTACAAACCGTCCCTAGCAACAGCCAAACGCCTGCCAAACAGCATGTGTTCTCAAGCATCCTGGACATGAACTCAGCTCTTGTGCAGACGGAGCCTGCTGTGCCGCGTGCCGTACCGATTTTATGCTCAAACTAGGACCCATGACAGCATGGAACTCCTGTCGTCGTGAAATGCGTGCCTCGCTGGCAACCTCTGGCAACCTTGCTACAGCCGAACTGTCGCCCAGTGCACGTGGTATGCAAAGGCACGATTTCACAAATCAACTGCGATAGGGTTGGAAAGATTAAACGGGATCGAGGGCCTTTCAAATCCTCGATGCCGCAAGAGCAGCTCACCACTTGTCAGCCTTGTTGTAAACATAGTTAGCCACATCCTGCTGGAGGAACCAAGACATGCCCACAAGGCCGTCAGATAGCATCGTGTACTGCTTTCCCTCGTCTTACAGATCTTGTATGAGCATGTCTACGTAGCACCGCTGCAATTGCATGCCGGCCTCGATGTCATCCGGTCCCAGCTTCTCGCCGAAAGCAGGCATGGCACCGTTGCCGTTGGTCACCTCTCTGCGCGACATCTTGAACATGTGTCCAAAGCTTCAGGCTTCAACAATTTTCAAGCAATCATACAATATGGACCGCATGGGACACATGCTCAACAACGGTCCCGTGGCCTGGGTGATGATGGCCTGGACGTCGTACTTGCCGTACTGGACCAGAGCTTCCTGGAATGCGAGTCTGCGGAAGCTTGCATAAGCATACCCTTGGACGGCTAGGTCTCATTGATGCTACTCACATCTCCTTCTTGAGCTTTTTCTCTGCCACAATGGAGTTATTCCCGCCCGCGTGGCAGGCAGTGCAGTTGCCGTTGAAGATGGCCTCACCGTTCTCCAGGTCCGCGGCGAGAGCAGGTCGGCCAGTGGCGACGGCGATCAAGAGGCCCAGGGCTGCACCGACAGCAAGCGGGCTCCAGGAGGCTGACTCGGGAGTGCCGTTGATGGCGCTTGGCTGTCCCACCACAGCACCCGACTCCGTCTGAGGCGCGCCCTTGGGCAGAGTGGTAGGCACGATGAAGCAGCTGGCACCGTAGAGGGCCAGCGAGGCAGCGCACACGATGCCAGCAACGCGGGACATGGTCTTTGTGCTGAGATTGAGGCTACAAACCGTCCCTAGCAACAGCCAAACGCCTGCCAAACAGCATGTGTTCTCAAGCATCCTGGACATGAACTCAGCTCTTGTGCAGACGGAGCCTGCTGTGCCGCGTGCCGTACCGATTTTATGCTCAAACTAGGACCCATGACAGCATGGAACTCCTGTCGGCGTGAAATGCGTGCCTCGCTGGCAACCTCTGGCAACCTTGCTACAGCCGAACTGTCGCCTAGTGCACGTGGTATGCAAAGGCACGATTGCACAAATCAACTGCGATCGGGTTGGAAAGATTAAACGGGATCGAGGGCCTTTCAGATCCTCGATGCCGCAAGAGCAGCTCACCACTTGTCAGCCTTGTTGTAAACATAGTTAGCCACATCCTGCTGGAGGAACCAAGACATGCCCACAAGGCCGTCAGATAGCATCGTGTACTGCTTTCCCTCGTCTTACAGATCTTGTATGAGCATGTCTACGTAGCACCGCTGCAATTGCATGCCGGCCTCGATGTCATCGGGTCCCAGCTTCTCGCCGAAAGCAGGCATGGCACCGTTGCCGTTGGTCACCTCTCTGCGCGACATCTTGAACATGTGTCCAAAGCTTCAGGCTTCAACAATATTCAAGCAATCATACAATATGGACCGCATGGGACACATGCTCAACAACGGTCCCGTGGCCTGGGTGATGATGGCCTGGACGTCGTACTTTCCGTACTGGACCAGAGCTTCCTGGAATGCGAGTCTGCGGAAGCTTGCATAAGCATACCCTTGGACGGCTAGGTCTCATTGATGCTACTCACATCTCCTTCTTGAGCTTTTTCTCTGCCACAATGGAGTTATTCCCGCCCGCGTGGCAGGCAGTGCAGTTGCCGTTGAAGATGGCCTCACCGTTCTCCAGGTCCGCGGCGAGAGCAGGTCGGCCAGTGGCGACGGCGATCAAGAGGCCCAGGGCTGCACCGACAGCAAGCGGGCTCCAGGAGGCTGACTCGGGAGTGCCGTTGATGGCGCTTGGCTGTCCCACCACAGCACCCGACTCCGTCTGAGGCGCGCCCTTGGGCAGAGTGGTAGGCACGATGAAGCAGCTGGCACCGTAGAGGGCCAGCGAGACAGCGCACACGATGCCAGCAACGCGGGACATGGTCGTGACTGTTCGGTTAAACTGGGGCCTCAACTCGTACCTGATCACAGCCAAATGCTTTTCGAGAACGGCCGGCTACCCGAAGCCCTGAAGCTGAATCCAGTGCTTATGCATGGCACTGGCTTCACCTCGAACCCTGAAAGCTGAGCTCCTTGCTGCTACACTGCCAGCAGGTGCCGTGCCGGGACGTGGAGCCTGTGCAAGAGCTTGAAGCACCCACTGCTGCTCCTTCACCTTAGCCTCTATGGCCTCCGAAGACCGCGCTGCGCTCCGCGGACGAGCGCCCCGTACAGCAGCCGCCCCGCCGCCCGCCGCCGGGGCCTAGGCTACACCACTGCGCTCGGCGAGTCCCGAAGGGCTCTGACTGCTAGCGAAGGTTTACCCAGTAAGAAACTGGCACTCCGGAGACGTTGCTCGACCTCCTTCGCAGCTTCACCACCAAACGGCAAGTACCTCGGCTGCGGCACATGTCCGTGTCCTTTGTCATGTTTACCAACTGTTGGCATGTCTGAAAATCTTCGCAAAAACGAGTGGCAGCATGGGTGTGTGCACTTTGGCTTCCAGCTCCTGCATGCCGTGGGGGCAAACACGAGTAACACGAGGCTTGGGTTTGGGTGCTGGTACTTTTCTTGATGTCGCTCTGTGTCGTCCGTCAGGCCCAGCTCTTGCTGCTTGTCTTAAGTAAGTAGAGGCATGCAGTCTGGAGTCAAGGGGCCCACGCACATAAGTCACATGAGCAGCAGATGCTGTCGAATGCCTCGATTATCTGTTGTAGCACAGTCCCACAAGTGGTCCTCTGCTTCCTCCCGCGAAAGCCGCAGCTGATCCTGGCATCCAGCTTTGCACCCTTCTACCCCGAGCAGAAGAAAGCCTGCACATGTTCCCAATGCAACCCATCAAGGCACCCTTGAGTTCCTTGCCAACTTTCTAGCAACAAGGCAGTTCGGGTTAGTCTCACAGAACACTCTGGTAAGGTGCCTGCGCAGCTTCTGGTCGGTGGGACCGCCGCAGCTGCTTCGGAAAGACCTCACACACCCACGGCAAGTAAGGATGCCAAACTGCAATGGTGGGTCTGTTAAGGTTCGCGAGCTTGGCACAGGCGTTCTTCACTCAAGGGCGTAAAAACAGCAGCAGTCCGCAGCCTGGGCTGCCTGCACTCTTGTAGTCACTGTAGTCTACCACAAGCTGGACCCGCCCACCCACCTCCCCACCTACCGAACTACAGGGTCACGCGCCGACCAGGACCCGGGTGGCGACGTGATGTACGAACTGCAATATTTCCTAGGGTAAAAGCTAATTTATTAGCAAAATAAAATGGGCATTGAAGAAACCCTAACAACTATTAACGACCTGAGCCGAAAATGAAGTTGAAGCACTATAAGTTCTAGAATTTGCAGCCAAGGCACACAGCTCTGGAGCTTAAGGTTTAGGGTATCGTACATACATATGTAAGGGTCGTCGACATATGTTCATGCGTATGTGACGTCTGTGGCCTATGTGGTATTCATGGTATATAAGACAAACTGTATGGACTCATAAGGCGTTCTAGGCACATACTACATATATGACGCAGGACATGCACCAGGCGGAGAATAATACATAGAACACGTACTGTACACGTGGAGCATGCAAGAGAGACAGTACATGCAGCCTAGCTGTAACCGACAATGTTAAATTATTGCACAATGACCAAGCCCCCGATTGCGGGGCAGGTTTAGGCCCTGCATAGTTGATTTCCAAGTCCAATGTTTTTTGACTAGCTGCCCGATTTGAAGCCCTGTGGCTCGCAGACGGACGCCGTAGCTGAGGTCACATGACAGGGTGGGAGGTGGGAGGCTTCGGGGTTTAGAGCTTTTGGGCTTGTATTCCGAAGACGTCTTGAGGTTTTCAACTGTCGTCACTGCCACTGGCCCCGAAGCGCGCACGGCATCCAACAGAGCCCTCTGGAGAGGGAGTTTAGTGGCGCTCACAGCCTTCCAGAGGGTGGTGGCCGGCGCGCAGCATCCAGCTTTAGTGGCGTTTACTGCCGGCGTTTACAATCTGCAGTGTGTGTGTGTGTGTGTGAGGTGAATGAGTGAGTGACTGTGCGTGTGTGTGATTGAGTGAGTGAGTAAAAGTGATGCGTCAGTAAGTGACAGTGCGTGTGTGTGATTGGGTAAGTGACAGTGATGCCTGTGCGGAGGAGGAGGGGAGGAGGAGAGGAGAAGAAGGAGCGGGAGAGCGCAAAAAGTAAGAACCCCACACGGTGATGTGGGGAACAACCACTACAACTACCACCACCAATACCACTACTAGCACCATTACCACTGCTACCACCACTACCAGGTCACTACCACTACTGCCACTGCTCCTGAGGCGACTGCTGCTACGACAAGGACTACTTCTCCCCCTCCTGCCGCTGCTACTACTACTGCTGAATCCTGCTGCTACTGCTGCTGCTAGCCGTTGCCACTGCTACTGCTGCCACGGGTGATAGCCCTACCGCTACCGCTACGGCAACTGCTGCTGCTACTGCCCTTTTCAGCATGGGCTTGGATTGTGTGCCAGTGAACAGGTTTACGAACATGTTGAACAACAGGCCCTGCTGTTGAGGAGTGTTCGCTGCTACCGCCCTACTCCGATGACGACGACCACAACAAACAAAGCTACTCCTTCTCCTTCCCCTCCTGCCGCTCCCACTCCTCCTGTTGTTACTACAGCTTCTGCTGCCGCTACGGCTGCTGCCCCAACTGCTTGTTGGAGCGCCACTCCCACTACCACGAGTACTACGAGGACGACAACTACTAGGACGACGACTACAACTGTCACTACAACTACAACTACGACGGCGACTAGTAGTGCTACTACTACTACTACTACTACTACTACTACTACTACTACTACTACTACTATTCCTACGACTACGACTACGACTACGACTACGACTACGACTACCACTACCACTACCACTACCACTACCACTACCACTACCACTACCACTACCACTACCACTACTACTACTACTACTACTACTACTACTACTACTACTACTACTTCTACTACTACTACTACTAGTCCTGCTGCTGCTACTACTACTTCTACTACTACTTCTATTACTACGACTACTACGGCTACTACGACTACTACTACATCTATTACTACTAATTGCTACCACACCAACTACGACTACGACACACGTCGACTGGCGGAGCATGCCGATTGTTTACTGCTACCTTCAGTTCTGATGATTGCTACTTACTACTTCTGTGCGTCACATCAGTCGTGCTGTTGCTCTCGATACTACCACTGTGGTCGGCTCTCAAAGCCATCTAATGTTCTGATAACTGCTCTTTCCGTTGTTCTTGCTGTGCCCATACCTCGCAATACTGGAAGTATGTCGGCTACAACGAGGGCTCACGTTCAAGGTCCCCGGCTGGGGCAGCAGAGGCCCTGGGGTCAAACGTCCCCTCCTCCAGTGCGTGCCATTTGTCGGCCTCGTGTCAAGTCAGAGTTCCGACGACTGGCAGGCAAAACGGCCTGAACGCGAGCATACATGCATGCTACAAATGCTACCTGAAAAAGGACACTACAAGGCTTGTTGGTTTACCGTATAACCATTCACCAGCACTATCATCGGCAGTAGTAATAGGAGTAGTACTAGTAGTACTAGTAGTACTAGTAGTACTAGTAGTAGTAGTAGTAGTAGTAGCAGTAGTAGTAGTAGTAGTAGTAGTAGTAGTAGTAGTCTTGCTACAGTAGTAGTAGTGGTACAGTAGTAGTAGTAGTAGTAGTAGTAGTAGTAGTAGTGGTGATCGTCGTTCCAGTAGCAGCAGCAGGATGAGCAGCAGCAGAAGTACGTGGTCGTCCTATTT